ATGCTGATTATAAGTAGTGTAGAAGATCAGGTGAGGTGGGCCTCACTATTTTGTGGTGGTCTAGCATGTTACTTAGAAATAAGCATTTATCAGCCACAGGCCACTGTACCTCACTGGACAAAATAGCGTGCAGATTAGTGAGCAAAGAGGAGAAGACCTCTCCTGCTTCCTGGGATTGGGATGGAAGCATGCTCAGATGCTTTGGCTTTTCAGAATAACTTTTAAAATTGTGTGTACACCATGCAGATCAGTGCAGTGAAACTGTGTCTCTGTGAAACATGGAGAAAGCTGTAGCGTTTCACTCCAGGACCTGTGCTATACTGTGGCGTTAGATGGGACAGGTCAACGTTGTCCCTTATCCCCCTGGTAATATGTGTCTGTTTTGCCTCCAATCAGAACCCCTTAAACTGTCATGGAGCAAAACAAGGTGCTCCTGTAATTATCTGGAAAATAAAATTATCTACCAAGGAAATTTTGATAAAGCATAGCAAAGCTGACCTGCTTTCTCAACTCTCAAAATGTCAGAAACTGTTAATGGCAGGAGTGTCATACTGGCACAGGGATAGACAAATGATCGGGTGAACCAGAAGAGAGAGGACAGAAGCAAATCTAATTTCACTGCGGATTGGCACATAATGATGGTGCTGGTTAGAACCCTTGCAGGATGGGTGGACTACTTCCTGAGTGAGGACGGTTAGCTCATCTGCAGAAAAAGTGAATTAGAGCTTTCCTTAGTGTCATGTTCAGAAATAAGTGGATGTAACGGTAATATTTAAAAACTATGGGTGTAATTGAAGGAAACGCTGGGGAATTGGGTTATAATTGGCTTCAAAACAACACAAGGGGCCCAAGGGGCAGAGCGCCTGCCTAGCAAGCATGAGGCCCAGAGTTCAAACCTCAGCACCTCATGAAAAACACAAACATTTGAAATAAAAATCTACCAGAGTTAACCACAAAATATAAAAATTGCATAAGGTAAAGTTAAAATATATAATGTGCTAGGAGAGATAGTTGCTTCATGTAGGGTAATAAAATAATACTTACAAATTAATACCAAATATTAAAATGGAGTAGACAAATCAAGTGATATAAACAGATAATTTATAGAAATACAAAGGCTAGTAAATGTGTGAATTAGGAAATGCAAATTCAAATACAAAACTTTTTTACAATCATAGGTTGGATCCACATTAAGAAGCACAAATTGAGCCAGGCGCTGGTGGCTCACTTCTATAATCCTAGCTACTTGGGAGGCTGAGACTGGGAGGATCGCAGTCCAAGGGCAGCACAGCAAATAGTTGTTGAGACCCCATCTCCAAAATAACCAGAGCAAAATGGACTGGAGGTGTGGCTCAAGTGGTAGATCATCTGCTTTGCAAGCATGAAGCCCTGAGTTCAAACCCTAGTCCTACCCGAAAAGAAGAAAAGAAACAAAAATTGTCTTTTAAAGTATCCAGAATGTGTCAGTTGTTGACAGGCTGAGGGCACAGTCCTTTTTGTGTGCTGTCAGTGAGATAAAAACCGAGGCACGCGTTTGGAAGGCAGCTGGGCAGAATCTATAAAAGTTACACATCCAGCTCTCAGTTCCATTTCTCAATTCCCCCATGGTCCCACCATGTGGCTTCTCACACCGGGTCTTCAGGTTCCCAAGGAGGTGACAGAAAGCTGCCCTGTCCCTTCAGAGCCAAGCCCAGGTCTGCTCAGCAACCCTTCCACCACTTCCTGTCGGCACCCCCCACCCTCGGGCTGGCCTGGACTCACAGGGAGGGACCTGGCTCCTGACAGAGGAGGGGATGGGATGGCAAGCAGGGACAGTAATAGGTGACATTACCGGCAGCTGTATTTTCAGACAAATTATCACACAGATAGTCAAAATACGGCACATTGTCCCACGTGCCATTTTAGTGGTGTCACTTCAGAATTTGTGTGTTTATATAAATTTCACAATATTTAATCACTTGGGTCCCTAGCTTCTTCCTGGCCTAGACCTTCAATCTGGACACCTATTCTGTTTTGGGGGGTTTAATTTGTATCTTGTACTCCATAGATAAGTATATAAACATGAAAATGCACAGTAAAATCCCACCATTCATAAACATATTCCAAAATCTCAGTTTTGTGAATTCTGCTGGTTTCTTTTTTTTTTTTTTTTTTCTTGCAATACCGGGGTTTGAACTCAGGGTCTCACACTTAGTGCTAGGCAGGCAGTCTACCCTAGAGCCACTCCTCCAGCCCCTGCTGTTGTATTATTATGAAGTTATTTTAAAGCCATGTTCTGTCGGTAGGTGGTATTGTCATAAATTGAAGCTTGTGGCACTTGTGCTGTGCACAGTTGACCTGACACTGATTAAACAGAGGAAGTCCCAGTGATTCTGAGACAGTGGCTTCCTGACTCTCTCACACACATATGCTTGCATTGTGTAAGGATATTCGCTCATCTGCCTGGAAAAAATGAATGAAGTCTTTCCTTGTACTCACCTCCTCTGAGAATTTTACTCCATCCCAGTCTGAGAAGAGGGTTAAGTGGGCTGGAAAGAGGACGTTAGCCACTCGCCAGTCACGTGACAGCCAAGTTCAAATCATCATGGCATCCATAACATATGAAAGTATGAAGAATATAAAGTATATTTATATAAATCTATATTTTAAATTGGCGGTGGGGGGGAGGTGTTGAAGCAGGCTCTCACTATATAACTCAGGCTAGCCTCAAACTCTCCATCCTCCTGCCTCTGCCTTCTGAGTGCTGGGATTGCAGGCATGTTCCACCATACCTGGCTAAATTTATTCTGAAAACATATCTGTCTTTTTAGATTTGCTAAGTGAATCTGTATGCATTTCATTTTGGTACATTCTCCCCCAGAGCTTAAAGTGTATCAGGTGCCCTGGGAGTAGACCCACAGGTGAATGAGTGGTGGAAGGAGTGGGCTTGACAAGAGCTTCCAAATTAACCTGGTTGCTAGGCAGAGCTGTGCACAGAGAAGGGGTGACTGCCCCAGCTCCCTGATAGGAAATGAGCCCTGAGTAGCTGGCCAAGGGGACCTTGGGATGACACAAAGGATCTCAGACAGAAAACTGAACACAGTCACCTGTATGTGAGGGATGTCCATTGGAGGGGGCATTGGGCCACCATTTTTGCTTACCAGAGTTTATACAGGTAGTTCAGTGAGCACCAGGGAATGGCCAGTCTCCTAGGCCCAACTAGGGACCCGTGCAGAGGAGAGCCTTAGCCGGTGGCAGCATAAGATCCTCCCTCCATTTACAGGTGCACAGTGGAGCAGGTGGGACCAAGACAGAACTGGGAGCTTCATGGGGGCTGTTGCCACGATCCAGAGGAGGCAGCAGGGCCTTGAGTCAGGAGCATGATATCATATGGGAATCTGTGAGCAGCTAGAAGGAAATTCTGTCAAGTTCTTCGTCCTCCTTTCTAAGATTATCTTTTTGTAAACAAGATCAAAAGGCGGCCGTGTGAAGATGGGACCCGTTGTTCTGACACTCTTAACCTCAGCGTATTTCTAGTTTTCATTTTATTGTAAGCAGAAAGTTCGGGTTTTCCTCTAAAAGTGATCAGCATTTTGGTTTCTTGGACTTTCTCCTTCTATACACAGTGGTATTAATTATGTAGCTAAGTATCAGATGGTGTTTAGTTGTCCACTTGACATTATTGTGTTTTGTGTTGTGTTTGTTTTTTCAGACAGCATCTCACTAGGCTGGCTTCAAACTCACTACACAGCTGAGACTGGCCTTAAACTTACTCTCTTCCTGCCTCAGCCCCCCAAGCACTGGGATTATAGACATGCGTCACCATGTCTGGTGTCCAACTGACATTATTTGTATAAGGTCGCTTTTGTTACTGTCATCATCGACAAAGCTCTTACAAATGCTTTTATCTGCTTTCCAAATGCCACAGCTTCTGCACTTATCTCAACACCTGTGGTGGTGTGCCAACAAGTTTGTGTCCTTTTGGTCTTAAAATACTCTTGCCTCTCCTCTCCACCCCAAAAAGGGAAGCTTGTCTAGGAACTGGCTTCACTTCTCTTAACTTTGTGTAGATTCAGTTACTCACAAGTGAGTAAATGGAAAAGGGCTTCTGGGATATCTGGGTCCAAGAGAAATGATAGGCATGAATTGCAAATAGTTTAAGGTAAATTATAAATAAAACGTCATTGTGGCATAATACAGAGAGGAGAGATTGATGTCATGACTTATGTTATGGAACTCTAGTTTATGTAGGACACTCGTCCTGGCCAACCATCAAGCATGGGCAGAAAGCCATGAGGGAGAAACCAGTAGCAGTGCCAGTAGACGGGACGGCCAGTACTGGGCTGGAGCCATCCTCGTTTCTGAACTGACACTGTCTCCCAGTCATTCTAGGTTGTCACTTGCATTTCCTACCAGAGCTCAGGGATGTGGCTTCACAAAGGACAGTTGAAAGAAAGGCATCGTGCCCTGCCTGGGCTGGCATGGCTTACCCTCCATTCCTGCTCTGCCCTTCTAGAACATTCTCCTCGGCGGTACTTCCCCACCCCACACCCCAAGGAACCTACTGCAACCCCTCCCAGCATCACTGAGAGCTGCAGGTTGGCTAATGGAGGAACCACTGCAGCTGCAGCCTGTCTTGCTGGGAAGAGGAGGAAGTGAGGCTGTTTTATATACATTAGCTCATCTGATGAGAACCAGGTCAACCCATAGTGTTAGAATGTGTTCAAAACATATTACTTGCTTTCTTTTTACCCTATATCAAGGAAATAAGCTGTATTGAATTATTTAACACCTTAAATTTGAAGTCCCATCTCTATAGCATGTCCTGGTTGATTTCTGAAGCCGATCTGATGCAGAATGTATTAATAAATAGGCAAAGGCGGAAAATCAAGGGTATAAGGTAATAAAAAAAAACCCTCATCTTTATTCTTAGTCTTCAGAACATGTTGGGAAAAGACTAACAGGTCAGTAGGTTTGTTCAGGAGTGGGGAGAATTGACCTCTTCTCTCCTTCATTCTCAGATACATTCCACCCTTGATCTGGGGGAAGAGTGGACACATGCAGACGGCCTTGTACGGGAAGATGGGAAGGGTGAGGTCGCCACATCCATACGGGCACCGGAAGTTCATCACCATGTCTGACGGAGCCACTTCCACGTTTGACCTCTTTGAGCCCTTGGCCGAGCACTGTGTTGGAGGTGAGCACCTGTAGCTTGTGGGTTTGGGCTCGTGCTCAGAGAAAGAGCACTGGCCAGTGGGAAGCATGGTGTAAATGCTTGGCCACCCACTGTCCCGATGCATCCGGGGACCAGAAGTCCCCTGAGATTCACCACTCAGGAGTGACTCACAAGGCTTAGCTCCAGTGTGCACTCGCTGGTCCATGCAGAGCTCTCCAGAAGACACGGTAGAGAAGTTTTGTAATCCACTCATGAAATAAGAAGTCTGTTTTAAAGGGACAGGAAGACCTTTGGAGCCAGGCCTCTGAGGACCAGGCCTTGAGTCAGTGTCAGGAACACAGTCTGGACTATTCTACATGTTTTATAGCTGCTGTTTTCTCGGTGGCTCCGTGAGGTTTGTGTTTTATCATCCCCACTCTACTGATGGGAAAACTGAGCTTGGAGAAGCGTTGCTTGAGAGGCAGTATATAAAGGCTCTCAGATGCCTTGTTGGACAGAAAGACTCATTATCACCATGGGTCAGGGACGCCTATTTCTGAGAAACAAATCAATTTCTCGTGCATCTAAAATTTGACATTGTTCTACCCAAACTATAGAATAAATACTCATTATAAAATGTTTCTTAATGGAGGCTTTTGAGGAATTAGAGTTCAACACAGCACCCTACCAGAAGTGAACGTGTCTTTTCTTATTCAAAAGCACCCAGTTGGTTACAAGAGTGTGCCAGTCATGTGTGGGTACATTCCATAAGCATATGTATTTTAACTCTCACTTGACATAACTACAACCACTGAGTAGCTGCTAACAAAGGCCTTATTTATTTATTTATTTATTTATTTATTTTTGGCAGTACTGGGGCTTGAATTCAGAACCTCACACTAGCTAGGCAGGTGTCCTACTGCTTGAGCCACTCACAAAGGCCTTATTTTATGCTTTTCTGTGCCTGGAATGCTCGGCCCCAGACCTTCATGTGGCTGCCTCCTCCTTGTCCTTCAGGCCTTAGCTCAGACATTGTCAAGAGTCCCCCGACTCACCCCACTAACATTTCCTTGCCAGGAGCTCCACCACGCCTCCCCACATCAGTTCTTATGCCACCTGTCACTCTGCACTTAGGCATGTGGTTGCCCGTTGTCTATTGGCTGGGGTGCAGGAGTCCCCCAAGTACAGAATGGTGGGCTCCCAGCAGACAGTCATGGAAGGAACGAATAAGTGCACAGGGCAGGAGTTCATATTGTGTTTGTAAATCTTGTAGCTGGCCTTTCAAATATTTATCTCTCTGCCATAATCAGTGAAATGTTTTCCTTCTCTTGTTCCTAATGTTTTGACTTCTTCTACCATAAACCATGAAGTTTAGTCTCAACTGTCTGCTTCTCCCACTGGGATGGAGGCAGGGCAGCTGGACATGGAAAAGCTATGATTCTTAGTGGCATTTATCTGCATCTTTCCATCACCTCTGTTTCCAAAAAGAATGGATGAGGATGATTCAGGGAAGGCAGTATCTGCCCCCAAGAAATGCTCTAAGAAAAGTGGTCCTCTTCTCCCTTTTCTACCACAAAAGGAATCAGTCTTCAAGGCAGAAAGTAGAGATGATACAGAAACATTTAAAAGAGAAACACAAGACTCACCCATAATCCCACCACCCAACACACCTTGATTCATCAGGACCTCTTTGTCCACCTGTAGATGATGTCACCATGGTCATCTGCCCTGGAATTGCCAATCACAGTGAGAAGCAGTACATCCGCACCTTCGTTGACTATGCCCAGAAGAACGGCTACCGCTGTGCCGTGCTGAACCACCTGGGCGCCCTGCCCAACATCGAGCTGACCTCTCCTCGCATGTTCACCTATGGTAAGCCTGGGGCCTGGCCAAGTAGAGGCCCCCTCTGTCCTCACTGACAGTGCCCTGCTACTTCTGCCACCTTGTGTTGTAAAAGTGTAGAATGTATGGCCATCTGAGAGAGATGGTGGAGTCCGCGGGTATCACAGCAGCCAGCTTGGACTGGGAGCTTATGTGCCAGCTCAGAGTAACTTTGGAGAGGGTACTGCAGCCACGCCACAGACAGAAACTGGAGGTCTTGCCCAAGGCTCCTGCTGGTAGGTGCCAGCTTGGGGCTGGAAGCCAGGCAGATCGGTAGCTAAACTTCCGCCCTCCACCACCAGGCCATCCTGATGCCCACACCTCAACTCAAGACTCTTGTGTCTGGCAGACCACAAGACTCAGCACAGGAACTCAGTGGGAAGGGAATTAGCACATTAGCAACTTTGTGGATTTTCACGTTTCCTTAAGGACAGGAATTGGCTCCATAGCCAGGCAAATGCTTCTTTTTTTGTTTTGTTTGTGGTACTGGGGTTTGAACTCAGGGCTTTCGCCTTGAGCCACTCCACCAGCCCTTTTTGTATAGGGTTTTTTCAAGATAGGGTCTTGAGAACTTCTTATCTGGGCTGGCTTTGAACTGAGATCCTCCTGATCTCTGCCTCCCGAGTAGCTAGGATTACAGGTGTGAGCCACCGGCACCCAGCTAAATGCTTCTTGACTCTAGTGCAATCTGGTGTTAGCTAAGACTCTGGCCTATGCACTGTTCATTCTCAATTCTCATTATCTCTGCACACATAAGTAACAAACACAATCATCGGTGCATCTGTATGCACGAACATCGGAGATGCTTACAACCAAATAAATTGTAATGTGTTTTAATGGAAAACTACTGAAAGTTATAGTTACGATCTTACCACAGCTATAATCTTCTATTGCTTTATCCTCTACCCTGTGTTTATCTATTTTTTTATTATTTAGTTTCATATCATGTGTATTGTGGTGACCTATTTAAATATAACCCTATAGTCACTGTATTTAATTGTGTTAAGAGTTGCCTGTATTACTCTGGTATAGTTTGTTTAATCATCCCTCTTTGTAGGGCATGAAGGTTATTTAAAGTTTTTCAGCATTTGAAATAATGACGCGTAAATGCCTTGTACATGAGCACTTTTTCTTTAATGGCCTGGCTGGAGTGAGTTTCCAGTGGAATAATGGAGTTGACATTTTTGTGCGTATGTGTACATATTGTCAGTCTGTCCTCACAGGACCATTCAGCTTACGCTGCCATAGGTGACACTCAAGGGTGAAAGGGCAGGCCACAGGTAAGGGAGCGGGAATGTGCACACCTGCTTTGTGCTGGGCATGGGCTGTGCACCCTGAGTCGGTGTCCTCCCCTGCACTCAGCTCACACCACAGACCCCCACCTCACAGATTCCTCTGTCCAACAGTCAATCAGTATCTCAGAGACATAGGTGAATATCCAGACTTACAGGTCACACTAGCAAATGAGAAGTCGTGAGGACGTGGCAGGAAGAGTTGGATCCAATCACTTCTCAGCCTTTTGGCTAAAATAAGTGAAGAAGTGGATCCAGAAGGTGGCGAGGCAAAATCTAACGCAAATGAGAACTGCGGAAAATAATGTACTATCTGAAGCTGGACAAAAAGCTCCGTCCATCCAAGTAGAGGAGGAGGAGGCCGGTGGAGACCCGGGACACTGCCTAGCAGCAGTGTGACAACCCGCAAGGCAGGAACACCAGGGAGGGCTTCATGGCGCTGCCACAGTGCTCATGTCTCCCGGAGACTTCATCCCCCCTACCTCCACGCCAGCCCAGGAGACAGTAAACCTCTGATAAGGACACTGGGGCACAAGAGCCAGGTCATTTGGGTAGGGACAGCCAGCCAGTAAGCAGAAGAGCTAAGGTAGGAACCTCAGAGTCATCTTGGCACTGGTGGAGTGTCTGGATCTGTGAGGAGCTGGCCCTCGGCCCCAGAGGGCTCTGGGAAGGAGACAAAGGGACCAGATTGAAGCCATGACCAAGTTAGGGGAGTCTGAGGGGAGAGGGCAGAGAGGAGCAGGTTCCATGTGGGAGGTGCTCACAGAGGGGTCCCCAAAGAGAAGGCTGCAGACAAGATACCCAGCACTACTAGACTGGCCATGTGGCCTGGGGCAGTTAGCTTAACCTCCTCCCATGTTCTTTAGTGACAGTGTCAGGCGCCACAGTTAAATGCAGGTCACTGGGATGTGGCAGCCAGTTGAGGGATTAGTGCATGGACAGTCCACATTCATTGAAGCTTAGATTTACTTTATTTAAATACTTGGAGTTGTGTTAATGTTGGTGAGGGATTAGCCGTGCTCTGTGTGACCCAGGTAGACAAGACGGGCTCTGAGGGGGTAGGCTTTAATAAAGGATTACTGTGCACGTGATGAGTGCACTGAGAGGTCCTGTGATCAGCAGCTGGGAAACAGCTGGCTCTGGAGGAGGGAGGTGCGCGGAGGAGCCCGATTCTCCTGGGAAGAAGCTGGGTTGGGCTGTCAAAGCTGAGCTGGGAAACAGGGTCTCATAAACAGTTGGCACCCGTGAACACCGGAGTGGGCCCTGGGGAGGACTGTCCAAGCAGAAGAACAGCAGCATGGCCCCTTTTACAAGCATGGAGTGGGGGCTGGGGATGTAGCTCAGGGGCAGAACACTTGCCTGGGTTCGATCCCAGGCAAGAAAGCAGAAAACAAAGAGCTTGGTGCATTTGAGCAGCAAGTTAAATTTGAGCATGAAACACCTGTGGGCATGAGGTAGGGCCTACTAGGGAGAGTTTCTGCCTCTTGTTTTAAAAAGTAATTTCACTACCACCTATATTTGTTGTTGTTGTTACGTTTTTGTCGCGACAGAATTTTACAAGAAAATTCCTATGGTTTGTTATACTTTAATTAATGTTCCAGAAGGACAGAAAAGATGGATGGTTTTTCTGACTGTGGTATTTAATTTTGTGTGTGTATTAGTACATCTTTTAACCCCAAGAGATAAGGCCAAACAAATGTGACTGTAGGCTAGGAGAGGTAGCTCATGCCTGTAATCCCACCTACTCAGGAGGCAGAGATCAGGAGGATTGTGATTTGAGAACAACACCAGCAGGCAAAAAGTTAGCGAGATGCCATCTCAGCTAGTAAGCTAGGCATGTTGGTACACATCTGTAATCCCCGCTATGTGTGAGGCATAAGTAGGAAGACCATGGTCTATTCCAGCCTGGGAAAACCCTATGCAAAAAATAACTAAAAGTAATAAAAGACTGGGGGGTGTGGCTCAAGTGGTCAAGCACTTCCCTAGTAAGCACAAAGCCCTGAGTTCAAACTTCAGTACTGAGGGAAAAAGTGATTATAAAGAGGTATAGAATCCAGAATTGAGACATTTTATTGAAATCTGAAGTATAAGACATTGACAACTCAGAAGATGATAGGGAGAAAGAAAGCTCTACTGGTTTTCAGTTTTAAATGACCTATCTTTCACAAATAGCTCCCTGGACTGGTGAATTAGAGTCCCTTTTAATAAAGGTGGTCTGGTGGTTAGAGCACCAGGTTTGTTGCTTTTGACCAGTAAACTGAGGCAGCTTGGCTGGAAAACCTTTGTCAAGGCTCATCTATATTAAACTCGTAAATGTGTTAGCTGTTCGTGTCTAGGCTTTATATCCTTATGTATAAATATATTTGTAGAATTTTGTTTCTATACCCAATTTTTTTTTAATTTGTGGGACTCAGGGCCTTGCATTTGCCTAGTGCTTAAGCCACCATCCCAGTCCTTTGGCTTTCAGTTTGTTTTTCAGGTAGGGTCTTGCACTTTTGCCCAGGCTGGCATATGGCTGTGATCCTCCTACATCTGTCTTCCAAGTAGCTGGGATTATAGGCATGTACCACCACATCTGGCTTCATGGTTAATTTTTAATTACTGTTGCTGTGTGATGTAGACTAATAATCTGACAGGGCTAACCCTGAGTCATGGCTTCTTTGGGGTATATTTTTGTCTCCCCACCTTTTTCTTTCTATCCATTGAACTCTGTTCTGTTTTTAATTTCTTCATCAGACAAGCTGGAGGTTATGCTGTGGAAACAAACAGCTCCCAAAGCTCATTGGTTTAAAACAAAGATGTATTTCTGCCTCACACTACACATTTATTGTGTGTAGCCAGGGCGGGGAAGAGGGTGGTGGTGGTGAATCCCCATCCTTACTGTCCTCAAGCAAGGGCCTGTGCTGGAGGACAAGCCACCAGCTGGAACACTGCCAGGTTCACAGAGTTGGAAATAGCCTGGCTCTGGGAGCTTCTCCTGGAAATGGCGGAAGTCATTCCTGTCACAGTCTGTTGGCCAAAGTACCCAGCACAGCCAAGCCCAACTTCAGCGGGGCGAGGGGAGTGCCACCTTCCCAGGAAGGGCGAGGAGATATTGGCAGACTGCAGTGTATCACTATTTTTAATAGGAATTTTCATTTCTACATTAGGTTGGAGGATTTCTTTTTGTGGTACTAACATTCCTCTTCCAGGACCGTGGTACTTTCCAAGACTTCATAAAGACTGGTTGGTTCTGTGTAGGTCAGGGGTTCCAACAGCAGAAGCCCCCTGGGAATTTCCAAAAGATCCCAGGGCCTGGCCAGCTCCTGGGGCTCCTGTGGTACAACCAGGATTTTCAGAGCCACAGACATAAGTCTTGTCCATGTTTCCTCTTTAGTTTAGTTTTATTTTTTATTATAGAAATTTTCAAAATATGCAGAAAAAGGGAGCTTAATGGAGTGAATCCAGAATAACTCCTGCATGCTAACACCCCGCCTCAAGAACCATTCAACTCATGACCAATCTGTTTCTTCTGTACACCACCCCTTCCCACAGCCCCTCTCAGAGATTGTTTAGAAGCAAGTCCCAGTCATCTGGTCATCTCTTCAGTGACTGTGTCAGTGCACATTGCTGTGATACACACTCTTCACAAACTGCTTTAATTTGTTTGAACTGTAACAAAATGCCATAGCCCAAGTGACTTACACAACAGAAGTTTAT